CTAAATCCAAGTACATGAGGGAACACAGCCAATTACAAAAAAATCAACAAAATAAAAATATTGAAATAAAATGTATAGAAAACGGTTGCATGGTTGACACCGATGCCTTTGTGGGTTGGAAAAGTCGAGTTCAAGGAATTTGTAGGAATCCGTGGTTGGAATATCACTTGATGCTCAATTTGAATTTGCGTTCTAGTTTGCTTGTGGTTGTGATTTTTATTTTTTTTATCCTGAATGATTTTCTTCTAGCGTCCGAAGTGTGCCATAATCTGACCAGGCCTTTAGAACCCGGTCCATCTCTCTCTCTCTCTCTCTCTCTCTCTCTCTCTCTCTCTCTCTCTCTCTCTCTCTCTCTCTCTCTCTCTCTCTCTCTCTCTATCTCTCTCTCTCTCTCTCTCTCTCTCTCTCTCTCTCTCTCGCTCGCTCGCTCTCTCTCTCTCTCTCTCTCTCTCTCTCTCTCTCTCTCTCTCTCTCTCTCTCTCTCTCTCTCTCTCTCTCTCTCTCCTCTCCTCTCTCCTCTGGAAACAAGATTACCAGGCATGCTAAAAGAAGCTGGGAGCTTGCAGCACCAAACTCTTTGTGCATGTGGGTATGTGCATTTGTATGTGCACGCGTGTGCATGCATATGTGTGTGTGTGTGTGTGTGTGTGTGTATGTATGTGTGGTTGTGTGTACTTGCGCGTCTGTTTTCAGATCGAGTCTGAAGTTGGCCTGTTGAGGGGCAACCGCCGTCTCACCACATCAACCCACACAGCGACGACGAGCAGCAGCAGCGGCGGTAGTGCCAGCACCAATAGCAGCATCGGTGGCGGTGGCGGTGCTGGTCGCAAGCCTTTGCCCGAACTGCCCGCGGGTGATGAAGGCAGCTCTGCTCCACCGCCGCTGTCCTTCTCCAACCAAGCAGTCAGCACGCCCCCCTCAAGGCCACCGCTCCCTCTACCCCCGGGTGCCGACCCACCACCGACAACGACTGCCGCACCTGCTCAAGAGTTGCCGTTACCGACGGGCGCTCTTCACCGCGTCGAGGCGCTATTCGACTGCGACGCCGATCAGGAGGACGAGCTGTCGTTCATGGAGAACGAACATATCATTGTGACGGACGAGACCGACAACGACTGGTGGTTTGGCTACATCGAGACCAATCCGGACCGCTACGGCGTATTTCCCGTTCTCTACGTGAAGGTGTTGACGTAACGTCAGTAGTACCTTGCTGGTGTCTCAGTTGCACTCTCACCTGTACGTACGCCCGTGCCTTCACCCTGCTAGGTTTGCTACCCGATGTGTCGTGTCTTTTTCGTGTGGATCTGTGTTCTGGTGGTGAGTGCCGGTGTGTAGTGTGCGTGTGTTTGTGTTTGTTTTTGTTTTTGTTTGTCTGTCTGTCTCTGCCTGCCTGTCCACGCTCTCTCTCACTCTCTCTCTCTCTCTCTCTCTCCTTCTCTCCTCTCTCTCTCTCTCTCTCTCTCTCTCTCTCTCTCTCTCTCTCTCTCTCTCTCTCTCTCTCTCTCTCTCTCTCTCTCTCCCTCTCTCTCTCAGTCTATCTCTTTATCATTCTCTCTCTTCCCCTTCTTCTTCTTCAACCCGGTCTGCTCTGTAATGTGACAGCCATATGTTGGTGACTGTCATGAAACAACTGGCTTGGTAGCAAACACACCAAGGCCTGACCCAGTTGCCAGACTCTTCTGTTGATATTCCTTTCCAAACATGTTAGTAGCTACCACCACCTATCCTATCAGCTATGCTGGCAGGCATAGTGTGTTGCCAACTGCCCTTGCTTTGCTCTGTTCTCACTGCTAACCGTTCCAATCTCTTCGTTTCGTCTGTCACCAGCCAGTCATGCCCGTCGCCGCCTGTCTTTGATGTCATGCCGACGGAGTTTATTTCCCCTAATGGCACATTCCTTTAGCTCCTTTCGATTCCCACGCTATTAGGAGATTCCGCTTGTCCCGTGCTCGGTGTGATTTTTGTAATTTCCAACGTTGGCGCCCTTTTCTTTGATAAGTTAGCGGTCTCCTTGTAAGTTGAGCAAGGGAATCTCCCTAGCTCGTAGCCTAGGGGAGCGACCATGGCTCCCTGCCCATATTATATTTATCCTGGAGGCCTGGCGGCAGCGGGCGGTTACTCGGGGTAACGATAGTCTCCGCCTGCACGGCCGCGCAACACGGCCTGCGTGCATGCCGCCATCCCAACTCCCGCACACCGACACCACCGCCTTCCGAACCTGGTCTCGCTCCCCCCCCCCCCCTCCCCTAGCATCGCCATGCCTGATCTTTCATCACGTTGACATCGTGCACACCTTCATTCCGCTGCCGACACCGACCACACACCGTCGTGCAGAACCGAGCCCAGAGAATTCTATTTTCCACTTTGGTCATAATTACGTTTGTACATATGTTCACCATCAAGCATAGGCTGATATTCCTTATTGCGAGATTTACGCTATCATTTTTTGTAATTTTTGTAATTTCCTCCTTTCACGGAAATGTTGAGCTTTACCCGATCCGCTTCGTGTTCTCCTCGTGTAAATCGTGCGGTGGTGCTTTTAGCCCTTGAACCGCAGGCCGATGAGCGTATGCATGTGGAGTGTGAGTCTGCCACCGTGTGTTTGTGTGTGTGTGTGTGTGTGTGTGTGTGTGTGTGTGTGTGTGTGTGTGTGTGTGTGTGTGTGTGTGTGTGCATGTGTGTATGTGTGTGTGTGCAGCTGAGGCGCGTAGCCTGCATGGGGTACGTGCCCCCCCCCCCATAAAAACTTCGACCTAGGTTCAGCATGCACATAATGACCTTAAATGACATGCACTATATATCTTGGTATGTGACTAACCATCCTATACATATGCGGCCGTGTACCCCCCCCCCCCCCCCTAAAAGGGGGACCAGCTACGCCCCTGGCGTGTGCATGTATGACGAGTCACGAGCGACCTGTGCAGGCACACTGCATGGTGTAGAGCTGCCACCCTCTCTCTTTGTTATGTTTGATAACTCCCTATTTCCTCTCCCTGTCCATCTGTCCGCCTGTAACTCTGTATCAGCAGGCCGCACTACGTATCCAGGTTGCTATAGCATGACTGTCTATGGCCTGCATCATGGTTTCCTGTTTCTGAGTTGCGTTTCCTGCAGGTTGCGTATAGTATAGTACCCATCTGTTAGATCTACCCCGGTAGGTCTCTCACTCGAGTCTAGGGATAATGGTGCCACAGCAGACTTTATTTTAGTATTGCGCAATGTACATTATACATGACTGCTGAATGAAATCCGGGCAAGCGAGCCAGTGCCACGCCGGGCTCTGTGCAGCCCTAGACCTGCGAACAGGGAGATGTAAACGCTTGGCTGGTGCATGCAGTGCGCAAGCTACCGGTGACTTGATTCACTCGATCGGATTTCATTGAGCTAAACTCCAGTCCGAGCTGCAGATATCTAGATTTAGACTCAAACATCGCTGAAATGCGTACAGTATAGTATAAGAAAGGGTTCGCTCCCCACACAGGAGCTCGCGCTATTCCGCCAACTATTATTAAACTTGACTTGACACTTGACTGACTCACGAATAGTATAGTATACAATGTAGATATTAATAACAAGAGTACATAAAAGGCTTATGTCAAGTACTCTTGATAATACAAGTAATACTAGAGCATCAAGCACCGGCACCGACACTGACAGCAGCACCTGTGTCCATCTGTTCCTTGGACTGTTGAAGCAACGAAATCGCTCGTTAGTTGAATCTGAAAACTGAACTCTCTGAAGTATTTTTTCTTTAATTAAAGATGAGAAAGACTATGCACAACATGCCACAGTCAGTAGCAGCCAAGTACAATGCGTGATCTGGTGATGCACGCACACCACGCACACCAAGAAGATCAACAAGATGATTATCCACCAGACCAGGACCACAATTTTGGATGGATTGGATTTTATTTATAGTGGTGACTATAACAGACAATTGCCTAATAACAATAGACCCACTCGAGGGAAAGATGTAAAAAGATACTTGTAAGAATAATTTTACCGGTAAAATATAATAGACTATTGGATAGGTGCTTGGAAGCGGAAGGAATTTTTCCAGCCGTGCTGCGACCCACAGTTATTTGGGAACTAATTACTTGTGGCCTGGCACGAGGGTAACATGGATGCAGCTAATGGGATTTCGGTCTTTGACCACTTGGTGGTGGGTCTGATCTACTCACCTCCCACCGTTTAGGCGCTGCATCTGCGCCTTTGATCCTAGAGGGTGGTGGCGTTCCCATGACGGATGCGGAAAACTGGGCTTCCAGCCGAGTCTCACGCGAACCGTGAAATTTAAATTTATTGGATAGGTGATTATCGTACACATCCATCCATTATCAAGCTGACCTTTTTTTTTTGTCCATGACATCGTTTTGGCTGGTGGTGTTTGTCGTGAGGTCCAGTTCTGTTAGTGCGGATGTGCGCCATGTGCTTGCCATGATGCATGCTCGACCAAAGGACTCCGACATGTTGAATTCAGACGGCGAGCCAAGGAAAACTAGCCGGTAACATGATTACTAGCACACACGTGTCATGTACATGGAAAAATGCGGGCACAAGCGAGTTAGGAAGTTAGGTATGCGATCGAGTCCATCACTGCACTCCTTGTCAGTTATGTGCTAGATTGCGAGCTTCTGCATTGTCCCGTCCTGAATGAGTGTCTGGGAGAGAGATTGACGAGAGAAAGGGAGGACGAGGGCGCCGATCTACTAATATACATGTACTGTGCGTGCTATCAAGTATCATCCTGAAATGCAGATAATAGAGTGATGTACAGTGAAGCAGTGTAACTCGCTCACGTGTTCTGAGAAGACCTTCAGATAACATACTCTTGCATACACGTACATGTACATTCGTCGAACATTGCCATTGTCCGGATCACGGGTGCATTCATCCATACCGAAGTGCGCAGGGATAAGAAAGAGAAGTACCTCGGATACTACATTGTACTTTGAAGTACAGTCAACCCGCGATATTCATGTTAAAACAAAATGGCGTCACGATTTATTGAAAGTGGTATAGTTGGTGGAACGAGTGTTCAAACCCATTTGAACTTCATACTGTTCGTCTTCTTTTTGACATGCTCCCTTTCCATCGTCCTTAGCTTTTATTTGTTGAGAGCTGTTTTGGCTTTCTCCTATACCTCTGGGGGATGCCAAGTGATGGTTTTGAGAGGCTGGTGATGGCTGTGAGCGAGAGTTTGCCGATCGGCGTCGTCCTCGCTATAGCGATGAAAATACTAGTTACTGCGCACCTGGCAGATATCACAACACGTCGGAGCGTCCAGGAGCAAAGGAATCTTGGGTTTTCACTGGAATCTAGTTCCTCCAGCATCGTGTAGCCCACCGTCGGTGAATGGCGGTCCAGAAAGGTCGAACCTGGTCTTCTGCAGCATCTCGCAGTCCTGCGAGGCACACTGAATACGCCTGTCATGTATTCTACAAATATAAATCACGAAGTTGTGGACTTTACAGTGATGAGTCTATCCTGTATGCTGCGGATATAACGACACTTCGCGAATAACGACAGCATTTCCATGCCCAGAGCAAAGTCCCTTCCAACTGTAATACATGTACAAGTACATAATTATAATGAGACTTCGGGTATAACGACACTTCGCGAATAACGACACTTGTTTGATGCCCCACCGAGTGCCGTTATAAGCGAAGTTGACTGTATATGACTGTATTATAAAGTACACTTTCGGAGTCTCCTGCAGCATGCCCCCATGCCTGTAACGCTACATGTATCATGTACATGTATGTCATACCAGTGTTCCCCGTTTGTCTCAGGATGTCACCCAACCACCACCACCTCCCCCACCACCACCACCACCACCACCACCACCACCACCACCACCTCCCCCACCACCACCACCACCACCACCACCACCACCACCACCACCGGTCACCACCCCCACCACCGCCAACCCGTGACCATGGTATGGGTATGTTGTCTACTCAAGTACATGCATGACGTATACATGTACATGTAATTGTACTCAATCTACGGACAGCATGCTGTTTCGCTCTTTGTGAACACATCAGCGCAGCACACTAATGGTATGTTGTTCTATTCGCTGTGTGCCCAGGACTCAGGAGTACATTGCTGGGACTGTGAGAACCGCCAGGAAGAGGCTCCAGGAACACTACAGCTAATTCAAACCAGCAGAGACCGGACGACAAAGTTAGTTACCCGTTTAATAGTTCTAGCGCGAGCCTCACCATGGCCATGGCATGGGGAGCACACTTATGTCTATGCCCAACACCACTGGCACTGCCACTGGTAGCGCTGCCGCTGCCCGTGTTGTGCACAGGCATGGGCTGGCTGTGCATGCCCATGCCATGGTGCTACATGTACCTGCTGCGCTTGCTGCAGCACAGGTTTAGCCTCTCGTGCCAGGCCACCGGTGTACTATAGTAGAATGACCCCCCAGCAGATGGACCCCCGGGCATTGTACTATAATTATAGTAGAGTGACCCCGGGGTCACTCTACTATTATAGTACAATGACCGGGGGGTCGTTCTACTATAATAGTAGATTGCCCCCTGTCATTCTACTACAGAGTCCACCAGACTTGTCGTTTCGCACGTGCAGGTAGAAAGGGATGGAGTTTACACCACAGATTCCACGTGGACATTATGGATTGTGGCAAGAGTCCGGGGTTATGTACTCTTGATTGTGGGAATTTAGAAAAGCGATCCTGTCAGCTTTTCTATTATTGTGTTCACATGGCAAGAAAAACGACACCGCTATGCTACGTAAGTTTCTACGTAAGGTGCTCGGTATTTCACTTAGGCTACGTAAGTCTCTACGTAAGGTGCTCGGTATTAGATCTACCAACGGGTGGTAGCCGCGTGCGGTGCACTTGCACGGCAGACATTGTGTTGCATGCAGTGCAGTCCGTGTTCGAACGTTCGGATGTGCATGCGCGAGGAACTTCCTTCTTTGGAACTGCTTCTTGTAAGAGCTGTTTCGGATATTTCGTCTCCTGGCCTGGCTTATTTCGTTTCGGCGCTGCTGAGACCTCCTTTCGTGGAATATTACTCAATGACAGGTGAGTTGACCAGTTCCCTTTGATTCATTTGCTTGTGTTGACTCTTTCATTTACGAAAAGTGTGCTGATTTTGGGCGGAATGCAATAAAATTAATAATGGAAAAGCGGACAGGATCTCTTTGTTTCCTTCGATTCATTTGCTTATGCTCACCCTTTCATTTACGGAAACGTGTGCTGATTTTATTCGGATTTAGATCCATTTTTATCTCTTTGCCCTTGTCTACAGTGTGCGAAGAACGCGAGTTCACCTTCTTGACGGTAAGGCTTATGTTAGATGTGTTGTCGAAATACTCATATTCATTGTACATTGGTACGTTACAAGTAAGGCACTGGTCAGTGGCATACTATCGTTGGCAGTTCCCAATCTGGAGGGAAAGGTTCAAGGACCCATTGACCGAGTTTGCAAAATATATTCGCATATCAGGGAAAATCTCCATTGT